CTTTTTTTTCTTTCGATCCAGCCCACCCCTCCCCTTTTTTCCTTCTTTTATTATTATTATTGATATTGTAATTATTATTATTATTATTATTATTATTATTATTACTAGATTCTAACCCGTGCGATGCACGGTGAAAAATTTATTTTATGGAGAAACGATATGACACATAAAAACAATGCATAGTTACAAATACGACAATTAGTTAACTATCCAATGTATACTAAAATTTGTTATAATTTAGCATATGTAGCAATAAATATTGGACGATATCACTTAAGTACATATATAATCATAAATTCTGAAAAACTTCTTTATACACAACATTCATCGTATGATCCTGAGGATTTTTTTCTTCGTCGCAACTCAAGATCTTCAATCCTCGTTGGTTTGTGACACGTGAAAAAGCCATATAAAGTTGACCATGAGTAACGATTGGTTTTTTAAGTAGTACACCAACATGTGAGAGAGATTGTCTCTGACTTTTGTTAATAGTCATTGCATATGAAGTCATGCCTCCGTACATGAGTATTTCTTTAATATTGATTTTTTGGTCAAAATTGTTAAATTTTGATATTAAATTTTAAAAAAACGATATTAAATATTGATACGAAAATAGTTTTTTTGATTTATTATATCCCAAATTTTCAAAATATTATAATATCTAAATGATATACTATATATATGTTATTTAATTATAGATAAAAAATTGAAAATAATTGAATGAAAAAAGTTAAAAGTGAGCAAATACTAAAACACATGTGTAGTATTGATTTCTACCCATCTTGAAGTAATATTAATTTCTTCGTCATATTTTTAGTTACATATAAATATTTACACTACCAAATTTTAATATATTTATTTAATAATTTTGATTTTTTTACAACTCTTTTTTAATCTAATATAAAAAATAAATAAATTTAAAATTTAATATTAATTTCTACCTACTTCAAAAATAAAATATAAAAAAACTAAGAGGCCTGGTCTAAATGAACGAAAGCCCACAAATTATCAGCCCGACCCAAAGAATCAGCCCACCCCCTATATGCATCCCTAATCCCTTCTCCCCTTCTCATTTCCGCCGTTTCTTCTCACTCTCTATCTCTCTCCCCCCCCTCTCTCTCTCTCCCCCGCTCTCTCTATTACACCAAAACTTCAAATAATAATTTTGTTTCGTTTTTTCCATTACAATGGCATTTAGCTCCTTTGATTTTCGTTTTTCCTATAATTATTTTTTGAAATGAATTTTTGATTGATTTTTAGATTTTTCTATGTTAATATCTTCTCGGTGTAAGCGGATCCTCTCAGAAAATGAAGTCTACTATCCAATCTGGAGATCGAGAATTTTTTATTCATAATTGTGTTCGTTTTCGTGTACTCCGTATATATTTATATTTTTTCAGTATTTTTTCCAATATTTTTTTCCAGTATTTGTATTATTTTTACATTTCTTTATTTGTCGGTGGATAGATCTTCACTTTATCTATCAGATATAAGAACACCGATTAGATATGAATTTGTTATCAGTATATACTTTTTATTCACTTTTCTTGGATTTCTCTATGTTAATATATTCTCGGCGTAGACAGATTCTCTCAGAAGATGTAGTTTACTATCCAATCTGGAGATCGAGAATTGTTTATTCATGATTGTTTTCGTTTTCAAGTATATATTTATATTTTTCAATATTTTTTCAAGTGTTTGAATTATCTTTACATTTTTTTGTGCTCGGTGGATATATTTTCATTTTATCTTTCAGATCTAAGAACACTGATTACATATGAATTTATATTCAATATATACCTATTTTATTAACACCTTTTTTGGATTTTTCTATTTTAATATGTTATTGGCGTAGACAGATTCGCTCATAAAATAAAGTCTGCTATCTAATCTAGAGAGCCACAATTGTTTATGGGCTGTTCATGCATGCATTAATATTTCAGTTTTTATAAGTATTTATTTCGTTTTTTCCCCTTTTGTGTCGGTGGATCAATTCACATATCTGTATGTTCAAATCATCGATCTGTATTTTAAAAGTCCATTTACTAAAAGGTTTAAATTTTATTATGTTAACACTGATTTTAGTATCTATATTTTTTTAACTTTCTGTTTACAGCATCCATCACCAAGTTTTTCTCTGTTAATTATACCATGATAGCCCCAATTATATTTTTAATTATACCATGCTAACACTTATTATATTTTTTAAATTATATCATGCTTACCTTTCACTTTTCCATGAATTCGTGTGCCCTGTAGAAAAGAAACATTTTATATCTAAAACAATTGCATTGATTCATGTTAGAAACTGAAAAATTGAATGGTAATAACTTACAAATCTGTCGCAGAAAACAATATCCATGTCGGGACGGAATGTGATAGACACGGACAGTCCATGTCTTCCAAGTGTGTCCACATACCCGCTCTTACTTTGTTTCCTGAATTACTCATTCTCTCAATGCTAAATTCTCCAGAGGATGAAACGAAAACGGATTGTGATTCGGATGTTGTGGTGTATATATAACCTTGAAATGATTGGGAAGTTATTAAGGGGAGAGTGGGAAGTTGCTGGAAAATTACTGATTTAAAAAATGCTCCATTTCACAGGTGGGGAAGTTGTTGTAGGCTATTCCTGGAACGTGCCACACCCTCTACGGAATCCTTGGAACGTGGCTGATATAGGAATAACAGGAATAATATTATATTATTAATATATCATTATTATTATAATCTTCATCAATGTAATTGGCAGTGGAGTTTTAATAATATATCAATCTCAAAACATTTATCAGGAAATGTAAAATTTGTTTTTTTTCCAATTTATTTAGTTATTCCAATTTTTGTGATAAAATAAATAATAACTTAAAAAAATTTGAAGTGGATTTTTTTAAAAAAATTTTATTCTGAAATTAAATAAATGAAAAAATTGTTTATCTAAGAATTGAGTATGTTTGGACTATTGGAAAGTAAAATATTTTTTTGATAGAATTAGGCCCATTTCCGTGAATTAAATTTTGTTTTATTACTTCTGGCCCATATCCGTGAATAAGCCCATAAAAATAGGCGGGAAAAAAATCCTGCTGCCTTTGTATAGAGATAGATTATTATTATTATTATTATTATTATTATTATTATTATTATTATTATTATTATTATTATTATTATTATTATTATTATTATTATTATTATTATTATTAAGCACTCGCCAACAATCTCAGCTCATAGAACTCAATAGCGGCGGCTGGTGATCACTCGATGACAACCGAAGACAACGACGGATGGTAAGCAACAACTGGGAACGCCGTCAGTACCACTATGTGGTTTCTGGTGGCTGCTGTCGGAAAAAGAAAAAGGGGAGAAGAAGAAGAGAAAGATGAGAAGAAAAAAGAATGGGGGCGGATAGATAGAAGAAAAAGGGGAGAAGAAAAGAAGAAGAAGAATGGAAGAAGAAGAAGGAAAGAAGAAGAAGAAAAAAAGAATGAAAAAATGGGTGCGAGGGGGGGGGGGGGG